ACACACACACTCAGGGTAACATTCACAATAACCGACAATACTAGATTACAAGAGACAGGAACTTATAGGGCAGATAACGAGGGGCAGACAGGTGAACACAATGAGGGTAATTAACTAATGATTATACGGGCTAAACCAACACAAGGGGAAGAAACCACAACAAACAGTCCACAGGGGTGTTACACTTACAGTGCCTGTGCCTAATGAATATTAGAAATTATTAATGGATGAAAGCGTGTCTAAATTGAATTATAATGCACATACACATTCTACAGCCTTGAGAAGAAACAAAAGTCTGAAGTGCCTCTACTGAAGCAAGTCTCTCTATTTATTTTGGAACTGAATTGCAACATCCTTGAATGGTACGATTACCCATTGGACATGCTAATTGTTTGAAATAAGCTTGGAGCATGAAATAGCGATGCTTCTGCACTGACACCATTTACATAGATAGATAATGAAAATGACATGCGGCATGTTTAGGCCTGGCCCTGAGAGAAAAACACGTTACAGCAATTAAATCAGTAGCAACGTAATTCCCTTGTTGTTGACAGCATAAAAATTATTTAAAAGATTAAAAAGCTGGGTTAAATCGAAAAGAAACATTGCGTCATTTAATTGTCCCAGGGGTTGATTTTATGACAGTAAAATGAACAGATTGCACTGATTGTTTTGTTACATTAAAACAGCTTTGGAAAGTTTTAACCATGCGTTCAATATTTTCACATGCTTTTTATGTGTCAGCATGCATTGATCATTAGAATACTATTATTAGGTTGTTGTAGTAAAAATTATCTACAAGAAGGTGTGAAACAATCATAAAACATTTCAATATTTAAAGGTAGGGTAGGCGATTTCTGAGAGGCTAGCAATAGTAAACTAGCTTTGAAAGCATAAGATCCCACCCTCACTGCAAATCACTCTCCAAAGCCACGCCTCCTCCAAAACACATGAACGTGCACAGACCAGCGACACGATGAGAGACGGCGTTGGTGGACGGTTGAATGCATCGCTGTCAGATTACCCCATTTCTCATTCACTGGTGAGAAAACATTACAGTATAAAGCACGTAATATTACAATAATAACGCCTTCCATTCTTGCTCGGTCTGCAATAGTGTACTGGAACGCACTGATGACGTATCATTTCTGCTAGAACAGGGTGCACTGAGATATGCAAATACATACATTGACAGGCAGGAAGGACAGCCTATCATAGTCCTCAGACCAAGGGATATGACTGAACGAATATTTTATGGTCCTACACCTTCCACAGACGATATAAATACATTTAAACCACTTAACTTAGTGATTGCTATCAAGATGTAAAGAGACAACCAACATAACAAAAAGTGATTTTTAAAGTCCCCATGAAATCAAAATTAAAGTTTTTTGGGTGTTACTATCAATATGTTAGTCTTAAGGTTATCTATAAGGCAGTGTGCTCCAAAACAGTGACAAAATTCGCATTTAGAAGATATAAGCATTCAAAACTTGCAGTTCGTCACTTCCGCCAAAACGGCTCAAGAATTGTTTTGACGTCACATCGTACTTCAGCTTCTCATCAAACTTTCTGTCCAATCAAATGCTCTATAGAATCCGAAGCGCCTATAAAATAGACGCTGAAGCCACGGTGAGGAAAAAAAGAAGTCTGGTTTCGCGCTGTGTCACGCTAACCATCGCACCGCACACACACTCTGCTCCGGTCCAGAGACACGATAGCACGGAGCGGATCACATGCGCGAGTCGGCGCAGACCACAAAATGTATCGGAGCTATTTGAATTCTACACAGAATGCTATATTTTATGGCAATATGGATGAGATTGTGGCTGGCATACCCTGTCAAATGCGGCTTTACGGAGCTCAACGGCTCTGAACGGCTCTAGCCCAAGGTGCGATATAAACGAACGCTATTTTAAAAAGGGGCGGGGCTGCTTGATATGTCCCGCCCTGTCTTCCTGTTTCAGTTAAAATGATGTCAACACACAGAGTAACGCTGCGTGTTTCTAAGCATTTCATGGGACCTTTAACCAAATCAGCTTCCATGCCTTTAAGTATAAATTATTTATTCAAATTTTTACACAAAGTTACGAATGTCCCACAGTTAGTGATGGGATACAAATAATGCTAGAGAAGGATCACCTATTTCTGAGTTTGAACACTTGAGTTTCTAGCTCAGATCTTTAATCATTACGCTTCACTGCCCCATAATGCTGAAAGACAAGGCTGAAATGAGCCTTAACAGAATTCCAGGTACTGGTCGAGTACTTAAGTGACAGCAGTTGGACAACTGTTGTACAGCAATAATGGCACGATAATGTGCACATGCAACATGCTAAAATTATTTTCAATATTTTAGCAAGATTACACAATAGTCAATTTGCTTATATCTGAAATTCAGTTTGCTGATATTTGAATACAAAAATGTGCAAGACATTGATAGACATTGATAGACACGGAAAATGACCAAATAACAAAATAATAGAATTATCTGCATTTACAACCAAAGAAAATATCCAAATATTTGCCCATATATTAGCTCAAAAAAATACACACAAAAAAAAAATACAATGATCAAAAATGTTCAAGTCCAGATGTTGAGTACTCAAGTAAAGATAGATAGATAGATAGATAGATAGATAGAAAGATGATAGATAGA